AAATGTGATCACACTCACTAAGTATCTTGATCACTAAAACAAAATGGCTCCTATATTTTATACCTTTGCCTTGAGCCTTTTGTTTTTCTCTTTCTTCTTTTCCAAGTTCAAGCATTTGATCATCACCATGCTATCACCATTGTCATGATCTTCGTCATTGCTTCATCACTTGGAGTAGTGCTACCTATCTCATAAACATCTTGATAAACTAGGTTAGCACTTAGGGTTTCATCAATTAACCAAAACCAAACTAGAGCTTTCAGTGGCAGAGCTCCGACCGGACTCGGGGAAGAAGCAGTTGCGCCGGGCGACTCCGGCCAACCCAAGTGGCGTAGGCAAACCGCAGAGAGGCGCAAGGCCGAGGCGATCACGTAGGCATAGCTGGGCACGACGGATGCTGCTCGACGGAGGCTACGGCGAGCGGCGGAGCAAGCTGGCGGCGGAGCAGAGCAGAAGGGGAAATGGGAGGAACGACGGTGGCAATGAGGCTATTTATAGCCGGGATGAGCTCGCCCGGCTGCGACAGCGCACGACGGAGGCGCCACGGCGACGGTGACGTGCCTGCGCACGGGAAAGCGGCGCAAAACGCTCGGCGGCGGCAGCTGCGTGGCGCCGGCGGTAAGCGGCGATGTCAATCTTAATTTTTGAATTATTTACAGAACTGCCACTGAGTCTATTTTTCAAATTACTCTCAAATTTTCTAAAGAAGTTGAAAATCTCCAAAAATGAAAGTTGCTCAACTTTTCAAGCTCTACAACTTTGCTTCAAGGAACATTTTCAAATTCTGCCTCCATTTTGAAATTTGAATTTGGGGTGCATTTGAGTATTTGAATCATTTCAAAATTACTCCAAATTTTATATGTAAACTTGAAAAACTTTGAATACCAAAGTTGATCCTTATAAAATAAGCTCCAACTTTGCTTTTTGTCAAAACTCCAAATTCCAAATGGATTTTGAAATATCCAAAAGGGGCAAAACGGACTTTTATAATTTAAATTCGAATTCAAATTTGATTTGTCTTTCTTTTGCTTTAACTTTGATTTTTAACCAGTAACATGGTCCATTAGGGTTGTTTGAGTCAAATGACACATGGTCTCACATGATCACATGAAATTTGACCCTTGTGGTCATGATCTTTGTTTGACGTTTTGAATCACATTGCATCACATAAAATACAAATTATGAAACAAATCCTATTTAGTGAATGCATTCCAAATTTTCTTCTTTATGAATGCTTTGCAATGCATATGATGACATGCCAAGTTTTAGTTCTAGGTCCAAACACCAGAGGTGTTACATCAACAAGGTCATTTGAAAAAAATTAAAATTTTGGCTTCCAAATTTGATAACATAAAACGAATATTTGGCCCCATAAGTGATCTCAGCTAAAAAAGTTGTCACAATAAAGTTATAGAATGCGTTAAGAGCTACATATTTGGTATAGACCATGTTAGCATTTAAGATAATTTATTTGGAAATTAAAAAATTTTGAATTTCAAAATGAAGTAACTATCTCAGCCTTCGATAAAATAATTATCTACTACGAAATTGCTGACCTTTAAAATTTCATATAATGTTGGTTTTCATATGAATTCATATAAAAAAATATGATTTTTTATATAAGAGATACCACCTAACCATTGCCATGTCTCAGCAAAACCATCTATGAAAACACATTGAAATTGTCGAGAGGGTATTTTATCCGGTTTTAAAAGTTAAGATGTGTATGTTGTATGGAATTGGAGTTTGGGGGTGTTCATCAAACTTAGTGACAATTTTAGGGGAGGGGTGGTTTTAAAATGGACTTGACTCTAGTTTCTTTGTGATGGCTTCTTAGGGGTAAACCTAAGCTTGTCATTGTTATCTTATAACTCTTTTATTTAGTCACCTTCTTCTCTCTTATAATAATATAATGCCACAAAAAAATGTGACATTTTCTTTGTCTCTTTAACTTTGTATTTGGTTTCTTTTGCTTTTAAAAATTTGCAGTAGGAGGAAACCCCTCCTGTTTTCCTAAAAAAAAGAGAGAAAAGATCATCTAAATGATTAACGTATAGGATTTCTGCTAATTTCGCTGAGCTGAAGTATAAAATTCAGCAAATGCTTTTTCAGGCGGTAGCATGCAAAATACACACAAGTCCCTTTTCTCTTTTTTTTCTTTGCCCTGTAGAATTTAAACACTTGTGACCAAAATCTCGACATGGAGAAGTGGTACCAGGGACGAGTGACTGGAATTATTTGGAGTTCACAGGGATGCCATCTTGGGAGGGGAGGGATGAGGCGGGCCCAGGCTCCGCTGCGGGTCTTCCGCTCGGTTCCGGGCTGCCAAGACGGGACAGAGAGGGAGCGAAGGGACGCCGGCCTAATGGACCTCGGCCCAAGTAGAGGGATGAGGGAGTTGGTCTGCGCACGACTGTCAGACCAAGAAGGATCGGGCCGGGAGTTTTCAGAATTCTGAGAAAACTAACTATAAAACAAAACAAAAAAAAACTCCAAACACACATAAAATTCAGGGAAAAAGACCTAATAAAACTAGTAATAATAATAATAATAAACAATATATGCGACCGAAAGAATGCAACAAACATGTCGTTTACCTATGATTCATTGATGTTGATTTAGAAGAAAAAAATTTGCTCACGGCCATTACAGTCAGCAGCCCATTACAGGCATTTGCTAACGGCCATGGTGGGACCCAACACATTTTTGGCCCAACTAAGAAAAGGATGAGCCTTTCCCCCTTTTCTTTTTCCCAGGATCTTTTGTTTACCGGCGAAGTTTGACAAAGATATGCAGCATGCCAGCCGTGGTGATTTTCTGGATAGGTAGCAGCACTGTAGCAGTGGTAGGTAGCAGTTAGGGCTACTGGTACCATTTGGCCGGTGCCACAGGTTCGCAGCATCCAAACAGTGTGCAGTATCATACCTATGCTATGCCCACAGGCCAGAGCAATGTATTTGGTCATGGGACAGTGAAGGGGCGTTCTTGTACAGCTGCAGAGATTAGCAAGGCAGGCACACTGGATGTGGCAAGTTGCCGGCATGGGCAGCTCACGCCAGCAAAGAAAGAAAGAAAGAAAGGCAAAGGCTCAACTCAACCACAGATCTGAAGGACTTTCTTTCTTTCAGGCCTTCGTCAGGTGCATCCCCCCGGCAGGAGCTCCAAACTCCAATTTGAAATAGAAAATTTCCAAGAGGCCTGCTGCCGTGACAACCTACGTGCAATGTTTTGAGGAACAAGGTTTGCCAAAAGTGTTCTTTGTGCATTATAAAAGTACATATCTAGACTGACCTTTGAGTACAATGGTAGTAATCAAGGGGTTTCATAAGCAAGATCAGTAGGAATCAAGGGGGTTCTCACCAACTTGGTCCTCCTTGTTACCTTTTGCACGAAAACAAGCCAGTTTGAGGAACCTTTGTCCTCGGGAAAAAAAAAGCTTCTGATTTGTGAACCAGGACAAGATACAACTACGCTAGTATATTCCCCACTTTGAGAAGATAGTGATTTTCCTTATTCTTGAACCAGGTCTGGTCCAGCATCCCTAATGAAGGACATGCAAATTGCACGTAATGTAAACCCCTTAGTGGAAAGGTTAGATTGTCCAATTGCAAAGAGAAAAGAAGACCGCAGAAGAGCATCTTTTGCACATTTTTTTTCAGCAAGAGGGAAGAAAAACATACAAGGGTGTTCATTGTGTCCAGGTGAGTGGAATGCTTTGGGATTGAAGACTACTAGTAGGTCTGACGGCAGTACTTGTTGTCGTACATGCTGCGTTAGCGTAAACTAATCCAAGTTTAGAAGGACAACCGGGTCAAAACGTCAATACCAAAGGACCGAGTGAGAAACTTGCCGGCCACCAACATTTGGCCGTGGATTCTCACTTGATAATTCCTCTGATTAAGAGCTCTTTAGATGACCTCGGAAGCTTCGGTACCAATGCACCAGATTCTTACGACTGAAACAGGCTTAAAGATTTTTTTTTTGTACTTTTATATGGTAATGTGTTTCAAGAAGGAACGGATATAATATAAAAACTGAGGAATCACTGCTGAGAAAATGGCAAGCAAGAGTTTGCTGACCAGAAGCAGCCCAAGTAGAAGTATGAAATGCAGCAGATGCAGTGCATCCTGAGCAGAAGCACAAGCACTAGTATTTAATTTTCAAAGAGAAGGTCAGCATCAGCCGTATCAGCTGCCTTCTTGTCTGCAATCTCATCCAGCAGCCTGTTTTTCAGCATGTGACCGTCTCCAACAAGAAACCCATATGTACACCTAAACCCAAAATAGGTAGCAAAAGACTCTAAATCAGCCTCCAACATAGTACCTATACAAAAAAACTATTTTTGATTACCTGAGAGGTACAACCCAAATATAGACATCCTCTCTCCTGAAAACTCATTTACAGAAAAGATTTTCTTTTAGGTCTGATTATTAGAGAAGATACCGAATAAGTACTAAACCTTTTATCTGTAACGTTACCAAAAGACAAATGGGTCTTATATTTTGAATGTTGTTGTTGGAAATAGCCTAACCAATAACAAAAGTTCCTGCACCCTTTAGACATCTACTATGCCTGCATTCACTGAACCCATCCATGATCCATCCATCTCAAAGTCCCAATCACAAACTCATCTGATCATGGATTTCGTCCAAACTAATTATTATATCGTGGTTAGTGTTAGTGCATGAATCTAAATCTTGGCTTATCTGAGGGTTTACAAATATTGAGTCTAAGTATTGAGTCTAAAGCATGAATCTAAATATTGAGTCTAAGTTCTAACAGTATCATCTCTCCAAAATCTTGTACCTTTCTGTTGTCGTCGTCCTTCACCGAGGAACCAAGCGAAAAGCGGATGCTTTCAGCTTCCTATACATTTTTCCTTTGGCCCCAAATGTTGTGATTGTATGGACCTAACCTGGCAGAAACTAATAGCAGAGTAACTACCGATCAAGCTACAGCAATCTATTGAGATTGAAAGAAATGAGAACCATCAGGCTCTTTTAATTGTTCTGAAGGACTCTATACAGTTCATCTCCCAGTGCAGCTAGTGTGACTGGTTTCTGGATCAGGCCATTTATTCCTGACCTCTGGCATCGATCCCAGATGTTGTCGTTGATTCTTGCTGCTAGGGCAACAATCAACGGCAGCCAACTATTGCTACTGAACTTCCTGATCGCGAGGGCTACTTCGAATCCATCCATCGTCTGCATGGCAAGGTCAAGAATCACCAGCTGGAAGGACGACTCAGCAGCAAAGGAGCTCATGCATTGGACGCCAGAAGCAACCGAAAGGACTTGGCAACCAAGCTTCTCCAGGAGCCTGTGAGTTACAGCTCGGTTGGTGTCATCACTGTCCGCAAGGAGGACTCTGAGCCCATTAAAGTTGGGAATTGCGGACGATCGGTACAAATCTGAGGACGCTCCAGAGACCGGAGTCACAGGTTGCAACTGGAAATGGAGGACGAGCATGATAGTTTCTCCAATGCTTTTAGAATCTGATACTGACCAAATATTACCATTCATCATCTGCAGCAGAAATAAGGGCCCACATCAGCATACTAATGACTGTACATCACATCAAGTACATATTGGCCATTGCCACAACTGAATGTACAAATTGCGAACCAGAACATGACAATCAAATAGAGTCGCTGAGGTTTTGGCTATTACTAGCATAATAACTAAATATATTTATGCAAAAATCGTGCATGCTGCGACAAGAAACATACCATAAAATAATTATGACTAAAGCATAAGTTCAACAAAAGGACCAATATGTCCTCTCAGTTTGCCCAGTTTGTGGTGAGATAATAAATATTCCAACACTTGCATAAAAGGTCATACTATGGCCGCTAAACACATCATGTGGTTTGACGATTCAAATTGGTGTATAGCCAACTATCTATGTGACGACCAAGTCTAGCTGCTAGAGCCTAGTAGCTGTACAAAAATACAGGAGATGGAGAACAGTCAACAGATTCTAAAAAAAAATTGTGTCACTCAAGATCAAAGAACTGCTATTATTTTTCTAGCATCTGACTGTGTCTGGAAGGTCCAAGAAATCGGAGGTAAACCGAGTCAAGTAGGGTAAAAGAACCACCACAATCTAAGACATTGTCGTCGCTTTAACAATATTAACCTTGTGGAGAAGTGAAATCTAACCAAGCATTATCAGCACAATACATATAGAACCTGACAAGCACCAGGAGTGAGAGACATAAACGAGATAACAATATAGTTTGCGTCCTATTGGATATAAATGCTTGAGATGTTTTATTATTGATTTACCTGCACAATCTTCTTGCACATATTGAAGCTAAGCCCCATCTCAGAATTGTTGGGTTTGGACCCCTGGCTTATCTGACTGCTTGACGAACTCAAAAGATTGTCCTTGGATTTTCTAACCCTAATCTCAAATTTCACACATGCATAGCCCCCAGAGAAGTTTGCTCTTCGCAGCATCCAGTCATGATTATGCCTCTCTTCAACCTCATTATGACCATTGACATATAACGAGATACAGCCAGCATCACATCGGTTTATTAGGGTGCCTACCATGTGCAGGACAATATGGAAGACTCTCTTCTCATCACCAATGATCCTTTCTGGCAAAGAATTATCCACTTGAAACTCGAACTCTACACCCTTGCAACCAGTTAGACATCTGACCACTCCAACAGCTTCTTTGATAAAGGAATGAAGGTTGAACGGCCTCCTCACCAAAGACAAGTGTTCACAGTTCATTGTTGATGTTTGCATCACATCATTCATAAGCGTGGATGCAACACTGCTTGTCTTGGCAATGGCATCCATCACAAGCCTTTGCTCTGGATTCATGCTCTCCTGTTGCATCATCGAGACGAGACCAAGGATCGAGTGCATTGGCCTTCGCATTCCATCGTACATTGCAGTCTGGAAGGAATTCCGAGCTTCCCCTGCCCTCATGGCTTCATGCTTTGCCCGCAGCAAGTCCCTATGCTGCTCAGCAAGCTTCTCTCGCATCAGCTGAGACTCCTCTAGGAGCGCAGCATGTGACAGAGCAACTGCAACTTGGTCAGCAACTACCTCAACAATCTCCAACTCTCTTCTACCCCACCCTAACGAAGCATCATTAGGCAAAACCAGAACCAGGATAGCATAGCTTGTCTGCATCACTTCTGGAGTCCCTCCTTTGAAATTCGACACCCTTAACATCGGCATCCTTATTGCAGCCACAGGCCCCGCTTCAAGCTTGCTTCGGCTAGCAACCCCTAGCGCCGAATCTGGCCCAAGAACTTCTGCATCCTTGGTCGCCTTTATTTCTCGAACATCCGGATCATCAATAGGAATCGAACGGTTCTGCGGGTCCATTATATCCCTCTCCCTCAGCTGATGTGTCAAGATCATCTCGCTCCTGGTCTCATCAGGCATCCAGACAGCACAGTTCTGCAGCTCCAGCGCCTTTGAGAGCTCAACCATGGTGGTGTACAAGATGGTGTGCCTGTCGAGCGACTTGCGGATCTCCTGTGTGAGCATGCGCACGTGCCAGCTCGCCTCTTCTTTCCTTTTCATCATCCCCACCTCCCGGTCCAGCTCGCGTGCCTTGTTCATCAGGAAGTTTTCCCTGACCTTCACCCTGAGGAGCTGCGGTATGAGCGTGAGCAGGGTGATGGCCGTGGCGAAGGAGACGAGTGCCGTGAGGAACTTCGCGACGGTGAGGGCGAGAACGAGGTGGAAGGAGTGTGGCTCGTAGGTGAAGACGGTGATGAGGTGCGTGAGGCCGCAGAGCACGATGAAGGCCCCGAACTGCAGCACGATCCATTTGAGGGGGAATAGGTCGGAGCAGGTGGCGAAGTAGAGCAGCTCGAGCGGGATGGAGAAGTAGGCCGCGGCGATGAGGAAGTCGCTGACCTTCTGGCATTGCAGGATGTTGTAGGTGCTGGAGAGGACGCCGTCGTCGGCGTCGTCGCATCCACCGCAGTGGCTGAAGTCGACGGACGCCGCCGACGGCGAGAGGAGGAGCAGGGAGGAGAGGAGCAGGAGGATCCACACCAAGGAGATGGAGACCCCGCGCGGCAGCGCCGTTCCCACCACCATCGGCCTCTACCACCAACCAGGCTTCATTCAGACGCGCATTTCTGGGGCCGCCATCGATTCCACGCTGCGCACGCAGACGCTCCTGCATTCATCCGATGTAGAACAGTTAACATGACAGATTTTCAATTAATCGAACTGCGGCCCAAACCAAGATCTGGCGAAAAGCAAATCGATGCCTTTGGGCTAGGCTAAGCCACCACGTGTGAAGAGTAATCCTTCCCCAACATAGCATCGAAATCTATGTATCGGCCCAAATCGAATCCACCAGTTCGCGATGGATCTTATGTACGTAATCCAGAAGGTTATATAAAATCTGGGGCAGAGTAGGTAGGAGATTTAGAACAAGTCCAAATCCGATAAACCCCCCGAGCTCCAAGCATTTAGTACGCGATACATAAATCCAAACATATTTGTTGAATCGAAGGAAGAAGAATGGAGGGCCGCCTACCTTGGGCGTCCGGCCATCCCACCTGCAGGCTGCAGCAGCAATCCTCCAGAGGAGGAGGAGGAGCCAGCAAGGCCCGCCAAGAAACACGGCGGGGACACCGGTACTAGCACCAGCACCGTCTCCACGTGGGCCGGACACGGATCGAGGCAGGAGACCTCGGCGGCGTAGGGAGCGCGGAGCCCGGCGGATCCATAGCCACGAGGCCTGCCGCCTGCCGACGGAAGAAAAGAAGCTCCTTTTTTTTCTCTCTCTTCCTTTTCTCCCTCTTCCTTCCCTCCCTCGCCGATGGGCGCTGGAGCTGCTGGGCGGAGCGAGAGAGAGAGCGACGTCGGAAGGCGGGGAGAACGCGGCCGTCGTAGTGGGGGGATGGACTGCGCTACGCGACGACCGGACCAGCGGAGTGAGGAGGGGGTAGGAAGAGGAGGCGATGCTTCGGGGAGAGCAGGGGGGTGTCTCTGGGTGGAGACCCTCTCCCCTGGAACGAGGAGCAGAGGGGAGGGGAGGGGTCGCACTGATTTGCTGCTGCTTCGCCCGCCGCTGCGCCCTGGTGTGCTCTCTGCTCTGCTCTGTTCCGTTGTGTTCGCCGCGTTTCGGCTTGGGCCATGTTTAGTTCCCAATTTCTGAATTTGACATTACGTAAAAAGAAGATTTCTCGTTACATTAAATTTGTGGTATATGCATAGAGTATTAAATATTGACAAAATAAAAAACTAATTATACAGTTTGGTTGTACTTTACGAGACGAACGTTTTGAGCCTAATTAGTTAATGATTGAACAATTATTATCAAATAAAAACAAAACGCTACAGTATCTCTACAGTGTTCGATTTTTCCGGCGGCCCGAATCGGTGCTGACATTGCCTTGCCTTGTTTGGCTTTCAAGCCGACAGAATTTTTCTGTCACACCAAATCACCCAAACGTAATTTCAACAGGGCAGTGGTAGGGATGGATGCACCTGCCTCTGCCGGCTGCTTTCCTCGGTTGGTCCGGGCCCACCCGTCTGCCGGCAACAAACCGCTGCGCCCCCTGGTTTGGTTTCTCAGCGTACGTTGGGCCTGGATTTGTGGGATTGAGTTGGGCCAGGTCCATTTCACCTGCCTGGTTTCACCGTTCAAGTCCAAGAAATTAATGGATCTTCCTAAAAAAAAGAGAAATTAATGGATCTCATTAGTTGAGGTGTCATCATGTAAAAATAAAGGGTGACTCTATACATCTGTCGACAGATTTGACAACAACGAGTCTATCAGATTTTTGGCCACTCAAAAAAGAAGATAGTTCACCAAAAAAAAATCTGACAGATAATACACATAAATCTGTCGACAGTTTTGTTGGCTTTATATCTATTGAATTTTGCGTTTGAGTTTTGAACCTTGCATTACAAAGTTTATAATGTTACAGTTTAAAGTTTTGGACCTAGCAGTATAAAGTTTATAATGTCGTAGTAGAAAGTTTATGAATCCTGAGTGTAAAGTTTTGAACCTAGTAGCACAAAGTTTATAATGTCATAGTTTAAAGTTTTGTACCTAGAAATATAAAGTTTGTAATGCCATAATTGAAAGTTTATAAATCATGAGTGTAAAGTTTTGAATGTAGGAGTACAAAGTTTATAAAGTCATAGTTCAAAGTTTTGAACATAGCAGTACAAAGTTTGAAATATCATATTTAAAAGTTTATAAATTGAGTGTAAAGTTTTGAACCTAGCATCGCAAAATTTATAATGTGATAGTTCAAAGTTTTGAACCTAGTAGCACAAAGTTTATAATGTCATAGTTCAAAGTTTTGTACCTAGACGTATAAAAGTTTGTAATGTCATAATTGAAAGTTTATAAATCCTGAGTATAAAGTTTTGAATGTAGCAATGCAAAATTTATAATGTGATAGTTCAATGTTTTGAACCTAGTAGCACAAAGTTTATAATTTCATAGTTGAAAGTTTATAAATCATGAGTGTAAAGTTTTGAACCTAGTAGTGCAAAGTTTATAATGTGATAGTTCAAAATTTTGAACCTAATATTACAAAGTCAGTTTTTTGAGTTGTCATCTTTTTATTGGTCAAAATCTGACAGATTTTGACAGAACAAATCTGTCAACTGATAGCTAGACAGTCTGCTCAAAGGATAGCACGAATCTTCAAACAAAATGGACGCCCCAGTGACAGATATGAATCAACATTTTCTGTCGACAGAAATATAGCAATTTTCAAAAATAAATATGATAATAGTATGGTGTTAGAGGCATGAAGAGAGAACGGAGAGATTTCATCTAGATTAAACTTGGTGTACACACTTCCTAAAACTGGAAAATTGTTTAAAAAACCTCATTTCATCCAAAGGTCCTCAAATCACACATATTACATGCTACTCCTTACGTATATGTTTAGATACATAGCAAATTCTATGTATCAAAAAAGTCAAAGTGACTTATAATTTGAAACGGAGGGAGTAGCTGCAACCAACCTATAAAATGATAAAATGGTGTTATACATTCGAGTTTTATGTTTTATCAACTCGAGATAGAACCGATAAAGGTTGTAGCTCTAGACCCCTCAAACCAAGACGTATGAAAATGATGTGGTGTGGCAAGGATTGACACACCAAATGCTCTTTTCCCAAGCACCGTGGCCTTGCCTCCATGACATGTGGCCTATTAACCTTGCTGGCATGGTCTTGATCGAGGTCTATGCCATTTGGCGCTTGGTCTACCCCCACATAGTCGTCGACCATGTAAGGAGGTCACATGATGATATTTTCCTGTGAGAATCCGCCAAATTTGTCCATGGCGAGCGCCCCTTGACCTGAAGCGAAAAGGGGTGTATGGAGATTTCATGCTCCGTGGCGATGGCATGACTTCATTGGAGATGGCTCCAATGACCAATGAACAAGACTTTACCGGTATGGAAATAAGTTAGCTTGAGAAATGATTCAAAGGTCACTTAAAAAATAATGATAAAAAATATTAACAAGTGAGAATGAGCTCTCTTGGTTTCCCCACATATCGGACGTTGGATGATCTCTGTTTTTACATATTGTTTGGATGCACATGTATATCCATATCAATCCAATTCTATTGAAGTGGATTGGAGTATAACTTAATTAAGCCCCACTCCAATCCACTTCCATACGTATGAATTGATGTGGATACATGGACATCCAACAAGATCTCAGAGCAGAGCAGAGGCCAGTATTGCTACTGCCACTAGGCTCCCCCGAGCTCCTCAAAACCCCTGATCATGGAGAAAGCACAAGTCGCTGAATTGCAGTGTGGCTTGTGTGTACATTGGATGTCCTCTCTTTTACCCTTCTCTCTTATTTTCTCTAGCACAGTATTCTCTACTGTTTTGTTGTAGCCATCCTGTCCTGTAGGATTGAAAGGAAAAGGAGAATTAGATGCAGTCTTGTATTAATTTCCATTTAAATTTGCCAAACAAAAAAAAAATCTAGTCTGGCCGGCCAAGGCGACCAGCAGTGCACTACTAGCTTTGCTGATTCTGACGAGTTGTTCATTCAGTTTAAAGGAAGGCTTTTTTTAGAAGGGCTTAAAAGAAGGGGTGATGCTGGACCTTTTAACCGAGCACATGTAAGTGTTAGACACGGCCCACGGCTAGCTTCCCAGCAATTGGCAGCAGACGGCGCTGTTTCTCTGCACAAATAGAGTAAAAACGACGGTCAAAATTACCTAGTCTGATCCAGCTTCTGTTTTTTATACAAATGAGAGCTGTGGAAATAAGCGTGGCCAGAATAAGCTGCTGAAATGCGTGGCGTTTGGTTGTTGATTTCAGCTTATTTTGACCATAAGCAACTTATAAGCTGTACCAAACAGGCCATGCTGGGCCGACTTATAGCCTGCCCTTGGTGCTTTTCCATGTTTCATAAATTTGATTTCAGATAAAAACTAATTTTTCTTTCTTTTTCCCTTTTTTTGAGAATTACATAGTGCAACGTAAACACACGTACGTAAACCCTACTCCTATGAGCACCTTCGAAGGACTGAGCCGGTAGATCAGTTAAACTGGGCGAGAAATATCTTTGCTCGTTTTTGGGCCCGCTACTAGTTACCAATTCTTGCTTCCCATTCTATACTTTATTTTTCTGGAAAATGTCAAAAAGTGCAGGATAAATATGGAAAACGGGATATGAGAAGACTTGGAGTATCTTCGAGAGATTATCTGAAACGGAGTCGCCAGTGCTTGGACATCCGATCCGGGCGCTTAGCGTCGGATAGTGCAAATTCCCGCTGAAATGTTAATATGCGAATACAAAAATCCCGCACCACAACATGCTTATCTGTACGCCCGCCCGCACGCCTGACACACCCGCCCCGACGTCTGACCCTTCCCCATCCATGCACCCCGCCCCTGCAGGTGCACCCCCGCCCTATCGTGCCCCTAACCGTTAGCCCCCAGCGTGCCGCATGCCACGTCCGCCCGCCACGCCCCATTCCGCGGCGCCCCCCTGACTCTTCAACAGCATGAAACACGTGCAACATGAAACACTTGAATGCAACATACGTCTGAAACAGATGAAATATCTGGAACATACACTTACAACATATG